TATGATAATGATTAAGTAGTCCTGCCTCTTTGATCTTTACTGGGTTGATGCCCTGGATGTTATTCCAGTGAACGCTGACAGCTTGTTAAAAGTCCAGCAATTTTTTAATATCAACGCTGCAATTATTTGAACTTCTTGAATGCTTCTTAAGTGCTGAACAGAGGGGAACATTCAACTTCTCTATGCTTGCCCTGCTAATGCAGTGCTACGTGGGTAGCCCTTACTATATGTCAGAGCACCGTGCTGCTCCTCACTCTGAGTGCCCAACACCCCAGGACTCAGCCTCCCTGGGACTCCAGCTCCTCCGCTTTGCAGAGCTGGGGCTGTTCTGAGCATCCTGGGCTGCTCCACACTGCCCATCCCAGAGCCCATCTGTAGCCTTCTTGCGTGTTTCATACGCTCACAATGGTGTTTGAACATGTTTTCATTTGTATTTCTTTACTTATAACTGAAAGTAATAAGAAGTGGTTTTGCTGTTGTCTTGTCAGAGCTTGTTTTAAAACAGATTTATAGGGTTTCTTTTAGGTTCAGCTTAGCTTCTGTCTGTTTGGTTCCCATAGCAAGATTCTGTTATACATTCTGCAAATTGTAAATATTGCACCATGCTTATTACTGATTTATATGAATGTTTCAACTTTGATATGTAATTTCTGATCTTTTTAAGATTTCATTCTATCTACTCCCTAATTCCTCCTTGTAAGCTATATGTTGTCAATAATAATTCAAAGTGCCTAACTGATGGACAGTTGGTTACATGTAGCAAAAAATCCATTCTATCTGTTATAATGATGCACTCAACCCTGGTAGTGAGGCAGAAAGCTCTGAAATTGTAATCTTTTTGTTTCTAAAATCAGAACGCTTCAAATAGATTTATAGACAGGCTAAGAAAATCTTTTGCTTTTTTGCCCAGATCAGGGAGCCTAGTGAGAGATGAACAATTATCACAGCAATGGGAAATATTTGAAATGAATTCACAGTGCAGCTGATTGCAGATAATTGCCCTTACAGACCAGCTTGCAGGCAGAGCACCGGCATACCAGCCTGCACCTCCATTACTGCCTGCATCCTGCTCTTCCTCACTCTTTCTGCAAGTCTTTATCCTCTTGCTGTCTGGCCCAGGATTTGCCATGTTGTGAAGGATTTCACAATTTTCAATCTGCTTAAGCATGGGCAGGCATGGAGTTAATCCGCTGGAAAACAGGTTCTGTTACAAATTGCGTTTGCCATCCAGAAGAATTGCCTACTGGGTGAGTTGGTGGTTGGAGGCACTGAAGCCTGTTTGATACTGCCCTATACTGCCTGCCTACATTATTATTAATTTGTGAGTCCTTTGATATTCTTTAATGCAGCTGTACGCTGGTTTTAAATGGCCATGAGGAGCACTGGGTTACGTAAGGCAGGGCAAGTAGCTTGGTCCTCTTGTCACAACAGGCTTTTGAGGCTGGCTGTGTTACGGGGCTGCTGTTCTGCCTCACTGGGTGGAAAACACCGGGCTGTCTCTTCATCAGGCTGTGTTTTTCCAGGAGGTATATTTAGCTGTGTCATGCTGTAACATTTTGTCTCTGTGTACCTCTCAGTAGTAGTGAGGTGATTGCTCATAACACCTTGCTGAGGGTTTTTTATGTGCTGCACACTTAGCTGTATTTTTAGCCATGTTTTTAACCAGAACTTAGTTGGGAGACTGCAAAAACGTTCTCTTAAAAGTGCATGTGAATTGTCTGCCATTTGTAAGATTTTAAGAACTACAGAATATGGTGTAATTAACCATTCTGTGAAGACTGTTTATGGGCAATCTCTTTTATGTGTTTCACATGGGCATTACTCCTAATTTAAAACTTCTTATTACCAAACCAGCTAGTACGTGCAGTTTCTGCCTGCTGTCTTGGCAGACTTTATTTAGATAGCTTTTCTTTTTTTCACGTCAATTGCACCAAAATATAATACTTTAAAAAAAAAACAAAAAAAAACCCACCACAACACAAAAAACAAACTGTCCAACCCCAGCACTGTGTCTAGCTTGTTTCCCAATTCTACAGTGCAGTTGCAAGTGGTCAGTAGAGAATCCTTTCTTCACTACTCTGATGTAAAAATCCATGTATTTTGGATGTTACTTGTAGTGGGGCAGGGAATGGGTAAGGTGAGGATTCTTTCCAGCTGTGGGCAGTGCACTTCTTAACTGAATTGAGATAAAAACGTGTTTCAGCAAAGTTTATCATGTTGTGAATTAGAATGGAACAATTTTTTGGTTCTTTTAATATGAATGAGATCTTGAGTGCCCTTCTCATTAGCAATTTTTTGTTTTGTTTTTTTTGTGCCTGTGCAGTCTTTTCTTTAGTAAAACTTCAGTTTTGATTCCTGACATGATTAGAGAGTGAAGCAAAGTTAGTGAGAAGGCAGGCCAGGTTCTCCTTGTTGGGTGGACGGCATGGCTGGTGTTGGTTTATAAAGAAGCAGACCCTTTTTCCTTATCCTCCTCCTTTCCCACTCTGGGTTTTCTCATACTGACTCCTCCCTTATCCCAACCCTGGAGGTCTCACAGTAAGTCTTGCAGTCCCCAGGCGCTCTTCCTTGCATCCACAGTGTCAAAGCACCACTAGGGTTCCCCCTCCAGTGCCGAAGCTCTGTGTGCCTTTATGTATGCAGGTGAGCCTCTACCACATTGCCTAAATATTTTTACCCTTTCTGAGAGAAGCATATCTAATGTAAGAATTCATCATTCACTTTGCATGCTTTCTATTAACATGTACATTATCAGTTTTGTGTCAGCAATCTCAGATAAAGTATTGTAAGAATTTTGCTTCCCCCCTACTCTCCTGCCTGTAGGCTAAGAAGGACATTTTGGTGAGATGCTGTCAAACCACAAATATCACTATGTCCAAGAGCAAGATTCCTTACAGAGCAATGTGCACTAAAAGCTGAATAATACAATATCACTAGAATGTGATCTGACCTTAACTCTTGCCTGGTTTCCATTTCAAAATCTAAAATTTGTTGGACAATCCCCAAACTGTTTTAACATTTAATATTTTTATTAAATATGTTTGCCATGCCTACATCTTCAATATGGAAACAATAAAGCGTGCCTGTCCAAATCAAGCCAAAATATTAGCTGACCTGTAGCTGGCTAAATAACCACAGGTGTCTCTATTTCTTTTTCCTCCTTCCCAACATTAGCTATGAGATGTTTGTGGCAATGTGTATCTCACTGTTGTCAAAGTTTTCAGCAGGTGCAAAAGTGAAATGCAGCAAATGGTACTGCAAAAATCCACGTCTTTCTTCAACAGATGTAGAGTGGGAAGAGTCAAGTAAATGAGAAATCGATGTGATGAAATGAAGCTTGTGCCACATCTTGAGTTTGACATCATTGCTTTAGGTTTGCAGTGGAAAAAAAATGAAACCAGTATCACCAGGACTGAAATTCAGCAATCGTTATGTGAAATCTACTGCCTGAATGTGCTTTGAAAATGTTTGGGTTATGTTATTAAAGATGTATGGAGTTCTTTTTGGTTTGTGTAAAGAGGAGTTAAAGTCTTCCTCTAGTTTTTCCTCCTCCTTCTATGCTTTGCCCACTTGTTTTCATGAGTATCAAGCAGATGCTGCTATCACAGAATGTTAAATCTTGCTCAGCCTTTTTCTTATATTTGCATATTTCTGGGTGCAGCAGGATTGACTTTTGACTCTGTGGCTGACCTTAAATCCACTTGAATGCTGACCTGAGAGGTGAGCATGCGTAGTGACGGAGGTGATACTTAAGTGTCACCTTTACATTTTCATGTGCCTGACTTCTAGAGAAAACGTCCCAGTTTGGATCAATAAATACGGCAAATAGGATCAGTTTATGCAAGACTATTTTTTTGGCTGGCCTTTGACAACTGTTTTAAGATACATAGTAAGTACTGTGGATAAATGCTGCTTGCAGCTCAGAAACAGAGTCTAAGTTTGTAAATCTGTTACGATTTAAATCAATGTTTGTGATCCCACACTGACCTACTGGGTGAACAGTCCATGCATCAGAACTTGCAAGCTTGTGGGAAAATCTTTAGAGGATTGTGCTAAAGATATCAAACTTAAAAATAGGCATTTGCCCCTCAAAAGGAATTTGCTGCTCTTCCAAGTTTGTGACTGTCTGAGTGATGCTCTGGTACGCAGAAACAGTGACCTGATCTTTATTGAATAAAGTTGAAGTCATTCAAACCATTTCCATTAATTTCACATCTGCCAGCTCCAAAAAATACAGATGTCTGTGTTCACGCATGTACACATTTTCTTAAAGCCAACAAACTTGCTCAGAACACAATGCGTTTGTCATTAAAACAGGTGGAAATACTGTGCCTAGTTGTACTTTTAGGTTGGTGTGTAAAAGTCAGAGGTGAAACAGTTCAGTGTGAAGCTGCTCTGAGCTCTAAGCAAGTCCAGTCCTTTTTAAGGCTTAACAGATGTCTTTTATTTCAAACTTTCACTGGCTATAGCTATACCTATGCTTACATACATGGTGTGTAATAATCTGTATAGTCAATTTTACAGTTGCCTTTTTTGATGACCCGAAATGATGAAAAATGTCAGCCAAATAATTTTGCTATCTCTTAAGTATTGATTTTCTGTCTGAAAGTAATATATGCTGTACAAGCAGATCTTGATTTCTTGTAATTCAATACAGCCACTCACTCTGAGGTTCTACATTTCTGGTCAGCATGAAACAGGTATGCAGTATAGTTTTTATATTTCTATATTCTACAGCTTGAACTGTCAAAAGAAAACCAGTAAATAAAGTTTCTTTAGAGACTATAAAAAGCTTTGTCTAAGTTTTTAAAAATTGCTTATCAGGTTTTAAAGCTGACTGATAAAATTACGATCCCCGAAGGCCTTACCTTATGAATTTATGGTAGCAATAGGTGATTTTTTAAATTATAATGAAATCCTTCTGCTACTATCAATTGTTGTGTGAAACTAAGCCTGTATGTTGGAGATCTTGACGTTTGGATTTTCTTGTGTGCTTTCAGGTGAGCTGTGTAACCTCATAACGCTGGATGTAGCGCACAATCAGCTCGAACATCTTCCAGAAGAGATTGGAAGTTGCACGCAGATCACCAACCTTGACTTGCAGCACAATGAGCTCTTGGACCTGCCAGAAACCATAGGTATGTCAAGGGGTTGGGGAAGGGAAAATGACTTACTCAAAATGTCTGGTAAAAGGAGCAAATTTAAGAATAAGTAGTTGATTCTTGGCTGTAGAATGACTGGTGTTCTGCTCAAAGCACCTTCACGCTTGAAATTGCAAAGAAGGCTTGTGTCTTTAAACAGTCTTACTTTAAAACAATTAAAAACCTTCCTGGTCCATAAAGTAATCCTGCTGCAATACAGTAGAGGGTTTGCAACATAGGTTGAGAGAAACAGACTGAAATAAATGCTTTCCTGGTCGTTTTCAGAATCTCGTGTAGGTTGTGGTTTTGAAAAGACAAAAACTAAGACAGTCATCATTTTAAGCCCTTATTTGTCACAACATACTGAAAAGAATGTACCTCATCACTTAGACAATGTTCAATATTGAACTTTGTTGAATGTTTTCTTTTATGTATAGAAATTTTGGTGTGGAGTTGCTCTGGTTTCTGGTTTAGAAAGTTTGACCTGAACAGAATTTACATTGATGAACTATCCAATGTAGCTAAATTTCTTTCCTGGTTTGATGATATTTTTATTCTCCGGAGGTCTTATTCCATCTGGAGTTTGCATCTAACTTACATTCTTTGTAAGCACAGCCTTTATTTTTGTATCAGTTTTGTAAATCTCACTGAAAACTGTTTTAAAAACACTTGTGTGTATTATCAGTTTCATATTTAGGGAGTGCTCTCTGGATAAAGTGCTAATTATGGGAAAAAATTCTGTGAGCAAGTTGATTTCCATTATCAGTGCTTATAGACCACTGTTGTTGCTCCTTGGTAGGAAGATGTACCCAGCTGTTGAGTGACTGGCAGTCACTGAGTTTCTCAGAGGACTTGAAAGATCTTGCTTATAATATGCTGTGTGACTGTGCTTACGGGAAGGATTTCTGGGTAAGAGAGACAGAGTTACTTAAGCAGTTGAGCTGTTTGTGATACATAGGAGATTGCTGACTCTCAGGTTTGGATTCTTCTGTTTCCCTAGGAAGTTACTGTAAGCCTAGATTGTTTGCACTGAGTTGAGTTTGTACCTAGTCAAACTGGATTTCTGCATGTTTTCTTTGTTTGTTTTCTCATCGAGTGTTTTCATAAGGTTTTGAAGTCAATTATTTTTAAATGTATACACTGTCTCTTTACATTGCTTATCAGAGCTGAACATCACTGCTGTGCAGCTCAGCAAGCTACCGAAGGCAGATGAATAATTACAGCACACTCTCCTGTCTCTGCACACCGGCTAAGTGTGTGCCACTGGAGAACCCCTGTTTGTACTGAGGAACGTGTGTAGGAGCTGAACACCGATGTGTAAAACTTAAAGTCAGATATCAGTACTTGTGCCACAAATAGCTCCCGAGCAGCCAGACTTGGAAACTTCAAGGGAAAAATGTTGAACTCCAGCGTAAATGATAATGATCAACCTACATTTCTGCCTGTTACAGAAAAGGCAGCCGTAGCCAGTTCAGCAACATTGGCTTTATTTCTTAGTCATCACAGTTTTGGTTCAACATTAAAGCAAGTTGTGGCTTGATTTCTGTATTACAGCTTACTTTGTGGTTACAATTGTTCAGTGAGAGAATGCAAGCACTGAGAAAAACACCCAGGGCATGGCGGCTGCTGCTGCTGTGTGGGGCTGGGCTGGGCTGGTGTGTCTTCCAGCCTCACGCTCCCTCTCAAGTTTTGGCCTTTCCTTTTCTCACCGAGATGGGCCTGGCACTTGGCATTGCTCACTACACTTAGCACTACCAGTTTTCAGAGTGCTGATGTAGAAGCTCTGTCAGTGTTTCACCAGTTTACTCGAAGTGCTGTGGGGGTTGCACGCTTGGTACAAAAAAGACTGAACTCTTTTGCACGTTGTAAATATTTAAGACTCTGAGCCTATGAGCCTCCTGCAATGGAGAAGATTTCCATTACCACCAGAGCTGTCCCCTCCTCCTGCACCAATACCTTTGCTTGAGGCCAGCTTCAGCTTGTGAGGGGGGTTTTGTCACAGTGCTGTGAAAACCCAGCAGCTCCTTCCTTCCCTACTGATGGAAGGAAAAAAAAAAAAAAAGCAGCCAAACTTGCAGAGTGCTTAAATTTACTGCTGCACTGTCTAATTAAGTTTTGGTTTTCCCACTGAAAGATTTCTGAATGTGCCAATATTCTTTTAATTTTTTTTTTTTTTTTAAAGCTTGTTTTCTAATTCCCAGCTCTGTACTGGAACGAGGTGGCGTTGGAAGGCAGGGACGTTGGAGGGTGACATGCAGGGGAGTGGCAGGGAAGGGATTATGCATCAGCAATGATTACAGAGGTAGCACAGCCAACATATTCACTCTGTAAAAATACAAAGTTCTTGTTTCAACTAACACTTCATAAGCACGCCTTCTTGCAGTAACAAATGTCAATTTTAGGTATTAGTTGTCAGGAAGTGACCTCATGTCTTGCTTTATAGATATTAGCTTAATACATTCATATCTGTATTTCTGTTGATTGAAAACTGTGAAGTACTTTGTATATTAGGTCACTTCCTGTAAGAAAAATGAGCTTTGTGGAACAGCGTGGTACATTCCAAGAGTCTCAAGTCTAGAATCAAAATCGTAGTGGAATCTTAGCTTCTCAGTGGTGTCGTTGCAGATTGCTGTGTGTGTGTGAATTATGGTATGCTTGTTTTTTTGGTGTCTCATCTCTGTATGCTTACCTGGTACACTAATAAGAGGAAAAATCCAAAAGATATGTAAAAGGAGATAAATTATTAGAATTAGTAATTGGACTTCTGAAAGAGAGGAAATTTTGGGTGGAGTAAAGTGTTTCTGTTAACTGCTCATTGGATCACAAGCTAGCTTAGAAAATGTGCTGCAAATTGCACGTTGAGTGCTCTCTCGTTTGAAAATTTTATTTTAGCACTCTTTATAAATGTGTTTGCAATTTCTTATTTAAAAGTCAGCAGTGATTTTTTGAGAGAGAAGTTCAACAAAAACAGAACTTCGACTTTTAAAAAATCAGATTCTTCACCTATTTTGTAATTTTCCACTTCTGTGTGTTTACGTCTGCAACTTGATTACAGTCAAATGTGGCATATTCGTAGACATTTAAGGCAACAGACGTTTTAATAAGAAAAAGAATAGTCAGTTGTAAATGTTCCAAAATGATGCTTTAAAAGCACAAAAAATTCTGTCACTGGACACGCTTTCCAGTGTCTGCCATGGCACCGTTCCTAAAAGATGGTTAGGAAAATGAGAGGCACATTCAGAGCCTACGATTCATGCCCTTCGTTTCAACTGAAGAGCTCAGAAACTGAAATCACAACTTGCATGAAAGCAAATGTTCTCTGGGGAAGCTTTGCCATTTGCGTTGGTCGGCATTGCACCACAAACTGTGCTGCTGGCTGCTTTAGCTTCATTTACCTTTCAGAGCACTGTTGCAGTTCTATGCCATATACTTGATAAAATGGGAACCCTTGTAAGCAGGGCTGGACATCAGCGACTCACACAGCTTAGGTTATACAGATTGTTGCTGAGAGCTTGAAGTCCCCACAAATCCTCGTAAAGATTTTTCTGTAGAAAGTGGAACTACTTGTAAATGGGCTTTTAAGTATAGCAGGCTTAGCAAAAGCTTGAGAGGTCTTGCTCTGAATTTTCAGAAAAATGTGCTGGTCTTAATGAAAACCTGATGGAGCCATGTATAGACTCCAGCTTTGATGGCAGTGTTTGTGTTCTTAAAATGTAAGCGTGTTGACCTGGTGCTTTGGTCAGACAGGGTCTGAGCATTTGGTGCTCTGTAGGATCAAGCCTGTTTTCGGTCTCAGAATGGGAGGTCTGATCAGATTTCACTCTTCTTGTGCTGTACTGTTAATGAAGCATTTTTAATTGGATTCTGTTACTATTTGGCAATCACAGTAACCTTTTTGCCCCTTCTTTACTTCCTTGAAAGCAATGGCTCCCACTCTTTTATATTCTAGTTTTTGAGTTGTTGTACGTCCTTTTTTGATTTCATAGCGTTCTCATAAAGGGAATGGAGCTTCTGGTTAGCTTTGCTTCCAGGTTTAGTGAATAGAAAGCAGTGAAACTGCCCAGAAAATCCTGGGTGGCACTGAGGTGGTAGGTGGGACGTGACAGCTCACTGCGTCCTCTCACAGCACAGCCAGAGGGTATGGGGCAGAGCTGGGAGTTGGCAGCCTCCAAACATCTTTGTTTGGGCATTAAGGCTGCCCTTAATGCAGCGCAGGTAACGCCTGGGCGTCAGTGTTTGCACAGCTTGGGGTGGATGCCAAAGCTCAAAGGACGGCTTGACAATTTTGCAGAAGAAAACTGTATCAGTCGCTGCTAAATGCAGGCAGTCATCGAGCCACGTGCTGCTGAATCGTCCCAGGCTCCTGCAGCGCTGTCAGGAGGTGCTTTCCCTTTCCTTAGCTGCTTCTGTTGGCGTTGGCTGTTGGGTACTTTTTTCTAAGAGAGAAGATATTTGTGATCTGGGTATAAATTGTTCTTGGTGATTTGCGTTTTTTGTGAAATTAGAGATAAGTTACAAAGATACAGTTGAATACATACATACTATTCTGTTAAAAAAAAAAAAAAGAAAAAGGCTTGCTTCTTTTGGCTTATTAATTCTGAGGTTATTGATTTGATCTATAGTTATGAAAACGTTTCTTATATTGTATTTTAGTTGGGTGTATTTTCTGTTAAGACTAGGATGGGACTGCTTATTTTAGTGAATGCATGTGCCATCACACACCAGCTAGATGCAGAAACCAGTATGCAGAGATGGGTTGTAACTGCAGCTCAGCATTTTCAGAGTGATTTGTATACTGTAGGGAAAAAAAAAAAGCCCATAATCTTTTATATATAAGAAGCGGGCATGAGGGAATAGTGCTTCAAAGGAACGGATCAGAACAGAAACAAGCAGGTCTATTAGCTAAGAGCATTTTGAACACGTGCTAAGAAAGCTGAATTTTCAGAAACACATCACTAAATTTGTGCTCTTCTGCCTTATACTGGTGCTGTGTGTGG